ACTATTTGCATTTTATATTTCTTCTTTTGGTAAATTATGGCTTTTTAAGTCATTTCACCATTTCATTGAAATTATCACCCCAAAACTGTTATATCCTTTTGTTTTCATTTTCTTAACTATGGGATCGATAGTTAAGCCCATTTTTTATAAAAATCATTCTTGATATTGGTATTTTGTGCATTTTCTTTTTTTCTTGATCTGTCTTCCCAAGGATTTATGAAATTTATTAGTCTTTTAAAATCCCCTTTTAGATTTATTTTCTCTAGCAAATGTTTGTTTTATGTTTTATTGAGATCTGTTTTTATTTTTATTTGTTTCTTTTTGTTCTCCCTCTGCTTAACTTTTTTAACTCATGGAAATGGATACTTGGATGATTTGTTTTCAGGGTTTTTTGTTTTTTTTTTTTTTCTGACAAGAGTAGGATTTGTTGGTGGGCATGAATAAGGAGGGGGCAGTGCTGAAGTTCTCATGAGGGCAGAGCCTGCCATTTGTCCATGGGGCCACAATTAGGGATGTATTTGACCCACAGCCATCTGGGATGAGGCACTTTTCAGCCACCATGTCTTCAAATTTGTCTGCATTAAACTTAGTAAAGCCCCGCTTCTTGGAAATGTGGATCTTCTGGCAGGCAGGGAACTTGAACTTGGCCCTATATAGAGCCTCAATCACATGCTCCTTGTTTTGCACCTTGGTACAGATGGACATGATGACTTGCTCAATGTGGACCCTGGCCAATGTGCCCTGGGGCTTCCCAAAGACATCCCGCATGCCTGTTGAGAGTCCGTGAGCTCCAGCACAGGACATCTTGTGGATAAGGATGCCGTGGAAGGGGTGGAGCTGCACTCTGATGGGAAAACCATCTTTGCCACAGCTTTTCACCATATACATTTTGGCACAAGTATGTGCAGCCTCCAGGGCTTCATAGGAGAGATGCTCATATTCATCGGACACCATGGAGCCACACAGTGAGAACTCATCTACTTTTGCTTTCTTCTGTCCCAGGTCAAAGATGCGGATCTTGGCATCAGGGACACTTCTGCAGAAGCGAGACTTCTGCAAGAACCCCATGTTCTTAAAATACTGGTAACATCCGGCGAGGTGTTAGCCCATGGTAACACCAGGATCTTCAGTGGTGCAGTGAAGGAGAGGAGGTTATTTTCAGCTTTTTACTCCTAATAAAAGCATTTAAGTATGGCTTTACTTGTGTCCTGCAAGTTTTGATAAGTTGAATTTTCATTATAATTCAAAGAAAAATATTTCCTGATTTCTATTTGTATTCATTTTTTTAGTGTTTGAATTATTATTATTTTAAGATTGTATTTATTTATTTGAGAGAGAAAGAGAGAGCACGAGTGGGGGTGGGGCAGAGGGAGAGGGAGAAACAGAGTCTCCCTACTTGGGGCTCCATCCCAGGACCTGGAGATCATGACCTGAGCTGAAGGCAGATGCTTAACCGACTGAGCCACCCAGGCGCCCCTAATGTTTGAATTATTTAGAATTATATTAAGTGTTTTTCAAACATAAAGTTTTTATTGTTACCTTGTTTCATTATTGATTTTTAGCCTAACTGTACTGTTGTCAGAAAATGTACATTTATACAATGTTTTACTTTTTTGATATTTTTAAAAATTTCTTTTAAATTCATCATTTGGTTAATTGGCTTGGCATTTGATGTGAATTTTGCATTTGCTGAATATAAGGTATGTAAATTAGGTCAGGTTTATTGATTGCATTGTTCAAATCTACTATATCTATGTTGAATTTTTGTCTGGTTGGGGTATTAGTTACTAAGAGACATCTGTTAAAATTGCCCTATGATAATGGGGATTTGTCCATTTTCCTTTTAGTTGCATCATTATTTTGCTTTATATAGTTGGAAACTCATTATTAAGTGCAACAAATTTACAACTTTAATATTTTGGAAAGATTAACTCTTTTATCCTAATAAAATGTCCTTTGTTCATTGCCAATAAAGTGTCTTGCCTTACAGTCTAATTTATCTAATAAATATATAAAATATAGCTATGCTGTCCTCAGATTCTTTTTTCATTCATTTATTTCAGGGTTTTTGTGTTGTTGTATTTTAGGTGTGTCTCTTAATCAACACTGAGTCATATGTACTTTTTTTCATCTAGTCTAAAAAACTTTGTTTTTGACTCCTCACCCATTTATATATTATTATATTGGGGGATTATATAATTCTTTTATTTCTTCTTTATTGCTTCTCAAAATAAGTCAATCAGAGAAAGACAATTATCATATGACCTCACTCATATGTGGAATTTAAGAAACAAAGCAGAGGATCATAGGGGAAGTGAGGGAAAAATAAAAGAAGACAAAATCAGAGAGGGAGACAAACCATAAGAGACTCTTAATCATGGGAAGCAAACTGAAGGTTGCTGGAGGGGAGAGGGGTGGAGGGATGGGGTAATTGGGAGACGGACATTAAGGAGGGCACGTGATGTAACAAGCACTGGGTGTTATATAACTGATGAATCACTGACCTCTACCTCTGAAAGCAATAATACATTAGATGTTAATTAATTGAATTTAGATTAAAAAGAAAAAGAACAAACTGATGGTTATCAGAGGGGAAGTGGGTGAGAGGATAGGTAAAATAGGTGATAGGGATTAAAGAGTACACTTACAATGATGAGCACTGAGTAATGTATAGAAAAATAAATAAATAAGTAAATAAATAAGTAAGTAAATAAATAAATAAATATTACTTCTGCCTAGTTCTTTCTCTTCTCTCTTTCTAGGACACCAATTATGAACATGTTAGAACTTTCCCCTGTGTCTTGTGATTCCATGTAATTTTTTACCCTTTCTTCTCTCCTCTATTCTTCAATCTGATATTTTCTTCTGACTTATTCTAGCTCCATCTTCCATGTCTCATTGTCTATTAGCCACCATCAATAATTTAATTTAATTATTTTATTTTTCTGGTTCAGAATTTCCATTTGAATTTTAAAAGATAGATTCCAGAATAAAATACAAAATTCTCTATATTTCACCTTATTTCTTCAAACTATTAATCACAGTTATTTTAAAGTCCCTCAATTTGGATCTCCTTATGCATTTGTTTCTATTTTGTGTTTATTTTCATGATCTTGGTTATTAGGTCTTATCTTCTTTTTTTTTAAAGATTTTATTTATTTATTTGTCAGAAAGAGTGAGAGAAAGCGAGCACAAGCAGGGGGGAGCAGCAGGCAGAAGGAGAAGCAGGCTCCCCACTGAGCAGAGAGCCTGATGTGGGACTCGATCCCAGGACCCTGGGATCATGACCTGAACTGAAGGCAGTCGCTTAACCGACTGAGCCATCCAGCACGCCTAGGTCTTATCTACTGACGTCCTGTTAATATTAATTGAAATTTGAGGAACTCCTCTCTACTTGTTATGTGGGATGCTGTCTGATTCATGGGTCACTTAATAAAGCCAATTATATCTTCAAAATAAAAATATATATATTTACTGAAACTTGAACATTATGTATCCAAATTTTGAGAGCTAATTTACTGATCTAGATAGTGTTATCATTCTCCAGAGGTGACTTTTGCTTGGGGTAGGAGGGAGGCTGTTACGATGATATAGCCTTCAAACCAATAGATTTTAAATTCTTTCCAATTTGTTTCCATTGTTCTCAGGTGGGTTTGTCTGGAATAGTCTTCTCTACCATTACTAAAAACTAAAATTCCCCCAGCATGAGTTATTTTGAAATATATAACATTTCTACTCCTATAAAACAAAGAATGCACACCTGCTGAAACTGAAGCCTTTCCAGACAAAGAGGCCTTCCCTTGAAACTAAAAAAACAGAAGTCAGGTGCACTAATAACATTATGCTCAAAATGAGAAATGTGAAGACTGGAAAACAGGAATTGCAAAATGTTTGCCTAGAATATTCTTCAGCATTGTACAGGAGACCAGAAATCATCACAAATTACCAAAATTATAATTCTAATTAGGGCCTTTAAAGTAGAGAGAACCCAGGGATGGTGTGTTTGATGCTTGCATAGTTTTTTTAATGCAGAAATGTCAAATTAGAGCTAAAAATTGGAGTATATTTAAAATGATGATATTTAATAAATTAGCATTTTTAACCCACAGATTTCTGTACATTACCATGTGATTTGCAAAATAATTATAATATTTATAGAATACTATAGTGTTATATAATACAAATTAGAGCAGTCTGAGGAAATTCTTTTTCTTTTTTTCTTTTTAAGATTTATTTATTTATTTTAAAGAGAGAGAGCAAGTGGGGGGAGGCATCATGGGAGAGAGAGAGAATCTCAAGCCAACTCCTTGCTGAACCCGGACCCTGACACAGGACCAGATCCCATGACCCTGAGATCATGACTTGAGCCAAAATCAAGAGTCAGATCTCAAATGATGGCCACACAGGGCCCCAAGGAACTTATTTTTCTTTCACTACTTCCCATTTATCTCTGTGACTGTGTGCATATCTTCTTTTGGAGATAATATTAAGAGTCTAAAAAGTGAGGCTCTGGACAAACATACTAATCTCAAAGTCAATATTATATATCAATGACATAGCTAATCACCAAAATACATTATAAGAATAGTAGTTCTAGGTCCCCAAGAGTTACAGAACAACTCTATAAATAATTTTCTGAAGGAAATATTATATCTGTATTATCTTTCATCCCAAACACAACACAGTTTATCTCTCCTTTTTGTTTTTGATAATATCACTTTTTCCCCTATTATCTACAAAATTCAGTTTGAATGAATTTTTTAAAAAATGGATTCTTCCAGTAGTCATAAAACCTTAGTATTTCTTGACAATTGGTCTTGCTGTCATTTTGCAACCTGGACTTTGCATTTTAAGAGGTTGGTTTTTCAGTGCTAGTGTGTTTGAAATAGTTTTGAGGTTTTGTGGTTGCTGTTGACACTCTGCGGAACTTAGAACACTTTGGTTTCCTTTTGCTTTAGTGAACTGGCCAGGCCTTTTAAGTGCACGCAGACCATGGGAGTGCCTAAGCAGGCTTACTATTAGAAAAGAATCCTATATGGAATTCAGACAGGTGGTCCATCTCTGCACGTCCTTGAGAAGTCTAGCTTTTTCAGGTAAGTGCAAAAGACCTGGGGTGGGGGGCTCAGGAATGAAGGTTATGCATAAAGAGAGCATGCTAAACTTGCTAATGAGGCTCTAATTCAGAATTTTCAGTCTTGCTGTAAAAAGCAAGCTTATTTACTCTGACTACAATTCCTCCTTTATAGAAAGAACTGTCTAGCTGTGTAGTATACACTGCTCTGAAGGTGACACCTAGTTTTTCTAAGTGGTTAAATATGAACAAAAGTGGTTTCAGAATCTGACAAAGGAAAAAGGGAGTCTGGCTAAAACTATCATAGAGGTCTTCAGGGCATCTGATATTGCATTTACACATTATTGAAATGGTTCTATTTTAAGTATTTTTTTCATTATGAAAATCTTTAAACTCTATCACTGGTAATATTCTCACATATGATTTAAAACTATTCTGGCAGCCCTAATCCATAGAAGAAAACAATCAATAGTAATCAGGTACTTTGAAATTTCTAAAAGTACATAAGGAATAGCATGGAGGATATTAGGAGAAAGAAGGGAAAAATGAAGGGGGGGAAATCGGAGGGAGAGATGAACCATGAGAGACTATGGACTCTGAGAAACAAACAGGGTTTTAGAGGGGAGGGGGGTGGAGGGGTTGTGTTAGCCCAGTGATGGGTATTAAGGAGGGCACATACTGCATGGAGCACTGGGTGTTATACGAAAACAATGGATCATGGAACACTACATCAAAAACTAATGATGTATTGTATGGTGACTAACATAACATAAAATTTAAAAAAAAAAGTACATTCAAAATAACGTGTAATAACGGTTATTGTAATTCTTTTCATTCTATTTTTGCAGTACTACATGACAGGAGGAATCTAAAAATAACTTTAAAATCACACAATTAAAAGTTAAGAACAACAACTGTTCAAATAATTTTACATTAAGCTTCTTTTATACCTTTATTTCCTCTTTACAAGAAGTATTGCACTTCAAATATGTGAAATAGAATATAATATAAGCTTAAAAAAAGTAAATCAGTAATGTACAACTTGGGTTTGAGAGTTTAATATTGCTTCTTTAATAAATTTATAATATAATTTTGGATGGGTCACTTAATTCCTGGATTTCAACTTCCTACATAACTGCATAATTATTTATCTAAGGAATTTATTAAGGACCAGAATTACAACTCCTTGTTTTCTTTTTTATTGGGCTTAAATGAATCAATTAGTCAATATTTTAATTGATCAACAGAAGTAATGAGAAGACCAATAGGTGAGGAATCAGATAGTCTGAATCCTAGTCTTCTATTTTCTAGTAATTGGATGAGAGGTTTAGAAAATATTTTCTAACCATTCTAGGCCAGGGGTTGGCAAATTTTTTCTATAAAGGACTATATAGTAAATAGTTTAAGTCTCACAGGCCAACAAGGAAAATTGAAGATAATATGAAGGTAATATGAAACCATTTAAAAATGTAAAAGCCATTCTTAGCTCACAGGCAGAACAAAAATGGGAGATGAGCTATATTTGGCCTTGGGACCATAATTTTCCAGCCCGTGTTCTAGGCAATGATTTTCATCAATTATAAAATGGAAGATGTAGTAGTTCATGGATGATACATAGGGTGACCCACCAATCCCCTAAAATTGTACACAAAAATCTGAGTGTATGCAAATATGTTATTTTTTAATGGGAAAAAAAGGTCCACATATTTCATCAGATTTTAAAGGGTCCAAAACCCAATTAAGGTCAAGGACCACAGGACTAGTTGATTCCTAAAGATGCTTCCCCTATCTAAAATTCAGTGAAATGTTTATTGGGTGTCTACTATGTCTAAACCACTGTGCTAACACTATAATAGATGTTAATACATTTTGGCGAAAATAACATGTCAAAAATATATTAAAAAAGATTGTAATATTCACAAATTGGTGATAGCCTTCAAAGTAATAACTTTGAGAAAAATTCTGTAGTCAGGTATTTCTAAGATATTACTTTGCAAAGTGTCTTCAAATATAGTATGAATTATGTCAAAATATTAAGCAAATATTCTTATTGTCTCATCTTGTTTTTGGTGACAATGGTATTAGTCATGACAATCATAATCAAACTTAACCCAAGCAGAATCTCTTTCCTAAAAATATGACTTCCTTAAGAGCAGGAACTATGCTTTTTTCATCTTTGTATTTGGAGACAATATTTGTCACATACTAAGTGCTTAACATCTCTGGAATGGATATATGAATGAATGAATGAATGAATGAATGAATGAAAAGATGAAGACACCATCATGCAGAGTATATGCCATTGATACTGAAGGCTTAGAACCCAAAATGCTCTAAGAACAGTTGCCACCGCCAAAAATTGCTTCTCTTTTTGACTTTGGACATAACTGTGATTTCAAAATACTTGGTCAACTAAAGATTGCAATTCCTAGGGATTAAGTCATCTTTTTTAAAAAGATTGTTGAATTTAATTCACATGTTACAGATGTTCCAGTAACCTAGTCTATGGGATGGGGTGACGGGAGAGTCATGTTTTATTTAAGGAAAAGCTGCATGCTCAGCATCTGAGCGCTTCCTGCTGAGACCAGGTAAGAGGTTGTACCAGCTGGAGCATTACACAAAAAAGATAGGCTTTCTTGGGCAATCCAAAAGTCAGATCTAATAGAATTTATGGTATCACTATGCTCCCTAATAAAGAAGTTCAGCCTGATTTCCATTGCCTGGCCAATTGATGGTGCCAAAGTCTGAGCACCATTCACTGGTGATTGCCCACAGCTACATGGGGTAGAGAATGACTTGCGATCCAAATGTACCTCTCTTCTCTATCCAGGAATAATTTCATTTTCTGAAAGAGAAATTCAGGCTACAATAGCTGGTTTGTGATTCATTCACTTCTCTAGGGAAATTTAAATCTTAAGATTTAAACAATTTAAGAAGTGTTAATGAAAAGCCTGCACAGTCCTGTATATATCTGGAGTTATGCCTGAAATGTCCTTATTCAAAAAAGTGCATCCCACCTCCGTCCCTGCCTTCACCTCCTCTCCCCCTTTAAAACCTGTTAGGGAAATAGCAAAACACTATTCACTTTGGGTTGTAATTATAGAGCATGCCTGTGCAGTGTCACTCTGCATTAAATCGTACCATTTGTTCAACTGTTTAGAGGTTTTGCTAAAGTCATATTCCTGCATCTCCTTAGGGATTGAGATTAGCCCCACATACAGTCCAAAACCCAAAACCTTCATAAATGGGATCTCAAATACATAACCCAATTATGTTTAAGGTCCTGGGTCTTGCTTAAGTTATGACAGGATGCTCAGTCCCCTCTCAAAGAATTTCTGAGACACTTGGGGCCATGCTTTCATGTTTTATAAGCCCAAGGCAGTGGGTGTCTCTCATCTGATTGCTGCCCTGGGATCTATCTGCACATCAGCTCTGAACCTTTCTGGTTGGCTTCACTCCAGACGCCTCTGGTTCCTTCTCAAACACAACTAACTTGAATCTGTAACAAATTTTTTTGGCAAACTTTTTCTTGAAGGACTGGATAATAAATATCTTAGGCTTCAGAGGCCATACAATCTCTGTCACAACTACTCAACTCAATAGGTGTCATGCAAAAGCAGCCACAGATAGTACATAAATGAATATCTGTGATCAGTTAAAAACTTTATTTACCAAAACAAGTGCCTGGCCCACAGGCTGTAGTTTGCTAGCCTGTGAACTATATGGAAGGCTTGATGACAACTGAAAAAACTACATTGTTGCAGATAGAAACAAGAGCCTCCAAGTTTGCTAGAGCATCTCAAGAACTCAGACAAACAACCTTAAGGTTTACCAGTTCATGAAAGGATATGATAAAGGAACAAATGAACAGCCAGATGAAGAGATACATAAGTCAAAGTCTGAGTGGGGGCCCTGAGCGCTGGAGCTCTCATCCCTGTTGAGTTAGGGTACACGTCCCGCCCTCTCGCAGTGTGGATATGTTTACCACCCTGAAAGCTCTCCAAAGCCCCTATTCCCCTACTCTTGGGATATTATGGAGACTTCCTCATTTGGCATGATCAATTATTAGCTCCATTTCCAGCCCCTCTCCCCTCTCTGGAGAATGGGAATGGGGCTGAAAATCCCTAGCTTCTAACTGGGATTTGGTCTTTCTAGTTACCAGCCCCCATCCAGAGGCTATCTGTGAGCCCACCCAGAATCACCACCATGAAACAAAAGATGCTCCTAGTGCTCTTATCACTTAGGGATTTACAAGGGGTTAGGGAGTCCTGTGTAAGGGACCGGGAGGTGGGGGGCAGAGCCAAATATATGTATTTCTGATTATTTCACATCTGTACAATCGCACTCATGTAATTTATCACACACTGCCTAAGATTATTTTAATGCAGGTCTTATCTTTTCCCTAGGTTGTAATCTCTTTGCAAAGCAGTGACCCTTAACCAGCACAGACTTTATTCTATGCAGGGCCTAACTTAGAGAAGCATTAGATGGGATTTGGACAAGATATGCAAGTATTAAAAAAATTTGGCAGATTGAGGAAAGAAAATTTCTCATTCATCAATCCGCCCCCCCCAGTCTCTCTCTCCATACACCATTTTATATACAATATATCCTAAAAACATCTCTACTGAGAGCAAAATTGTTAAATTGGCCTGTTTTAGATCTCTTCTCATGAAATAAATATGACATAAATCTTTTTAGATTCTCTTAATTGTTTTCAGGAAAAAAATTTAATAGTAAAATAGGCATTATTATACCTACTTCACTCTTTATGATATTATAGGCAGAGAGACATGTAGAAATACTCAAAGACTTTTATGACTTCTTCTGTCTAGGAGACATTAACACACTTGGAAAGACACAATTTATCCATGTAAAACAAATGCAAAGTTCATGTCATTATGAGAACCTATATTTGTCAAATTTTTAATGGCTTATAAGCAGGAGGTAGGTACAATAATCTTCATTTTACTATTAAATTTTTCAGAAAATTTAATTAAAAGAACTTGAAAGTTTAATGCC